TGTGTCGCGCGGTCTCCAACCCAGCGTCGCCTGACTCGCCTCAGGCGGTGGTGCGCCTGTGCCGGTCCCGCTCGGTAGGCCTGGTCGTGGTCGGACCGGAGGCGCCGCTGGCGGAGGGCCTGGCCGACGCGCTGCAGGCCGCCCAGATAGCCTGCTTCGGACCGTCGGCCGCCGGCGCGCAGGTCGAGGCGGACAAGGCTGCCACCAAGCGGCTGATGCGTGAACTAGACATCCCCACCGCCGACTTTGAAACATTCACTGATGCAGAGGAAGCCAAGCAGTATATCCGAAGGTAAAATGGTCTTATTTTGAAGCTGTTGCATGCTCTTTGACGTCTGCATTGCACAGTTGGTGTGTTACACCACGAGTAACTTAGTTTGTTGTAATAGCATTTTTACGTGGGGTTTGACGCGTAATGGATATATCATTGTTTACGTAGCGTCCTCTTAGCCCCTGTCTGCATTGTTGCTGTCTTTTAAGCTGGATCTCGGCACTGTTGCCGGTGCCCTGATATCGCTGTTACTGTTGCGATTGTTACTGGCCCACTTACACAATGTTTTGCTGGCGCACCTTGTGTTCTTCTACCCGACGGTGAAGCAATGTGCTGCAGGAACGCGTCGCATTGCTCAGTTAGCCGTTGACGCCGTGGGAGGAAATGTGGTCTCTTGTCCGTGAGAGCACTAGCGTATCGCTGGTGGTGGTAGTGCGTGCGTGTAACCGTAGTTGTAACGTAACTCGATGGCTAGTGGTACTGCCGGTAACCGTGCACATGCCCCTCCCCAGTGGCGGGGGGGGGGGGGGGGGCGGCTGGTGGTGAAGGCGGCCGGCCTGGCCGCCGGGAAAGGAGGCGCTGCCGGTTACCCTGCACACGCCCCTCCCCAGTGGCGGAGGGCGGCTGGTGGTGAAGGCGGCTGGCCTGGCCGCCGGGAAGGGAGTGGTGGTGGCGTCGGACGAGGCCGAGGCGTGCCGTGCGGTGGACGCCATGCTGCTGGAGCGGACGTTCGGCGAGGCCGGCAGCACGATCGTGGTGGAGCAGAAGCTCTCCGGCGAGGAATTGTCGGTGAGAGGATGTGGAGGAAGTTGGTGGTACCTGTGATGCTCCCATACCCTGGCTTTTACTTCATTTCCACTCAGCCATCCATCGTTTTCTCCTCCCCTTGGCTCGCTTTTGCTGCCGTCTTCCAATCAACTCTGTCTTCGTCCTTCGTGTTCCCTTTGTGCGCAGCCGCACTGGACTGATTCCAGGATGATTGGGAAGCATACAGTGGGCCTTGGTGCATCAGACCAGAAGTAATGCATAGGTAAACATAGCGGGTGAATACCTGGTAGCAGGCCAGGGGTACGCGCAGGACGATTCGTGCGTGCTGGGCTTTGAACAGCAGCAGTTTCTGTCTGAAGGTGCCGTTGTCCCGATACACGAGGTTCGTGCTTTGTAGACGTCTCCAATGGCAATAGCATCACTGGAACCATAAAATGCCGGTTCAGAACATTTGGTGGCAGCGGTGGGATCTTCTGGTCGGACACGCTTCCCAGGTGGACTTCCCATGAATTGCGGGATTCTTGGCACGTGCTTGGGATGATTATTCAGCTCAGGTCCTGTGCACCTCGGACAGCCGTTACATAAGCCGAAGTCGCGACGGACCGGTGGACGGCTGTGGCCAGCTGGCGAGACTGCTGCATCTCGACGGTCCTGTTAAGATATTAAATTTCTGCGAGGATGGTCTCATTGTAAAACTCTCTTCCAACCACCATGTCTCCTCACAGCTAGTTAGTCTTCTCTTTCAGCCAGCCAATACACTCGGTCACCTGACAACATCACACCTCTTAGCGATTCACGTGGTCTTCCTGCAAGACAGGTGGCCTATCTTGTCTTCCATCTTTTTGGCGCGCCGAACCAGCCGCTGCCTGACGCCTGAGGATTGCTTCTGTATCTGCTGGGACGAGCCCACGAAACTATGACCGATGAATGCCATCCATGGCAAGCTTTCGGCCCAGATTTCGCTGGCCAGCGGTTGTATCAATGCAATCCAGTTGCTGTCATTGCGGCGAACACCTCTCGGGCTGCTGATGTTTGTTTCTCCTGGCGCTGGGTTCGTGTGCTGACATACTGCAATCTGAATTCATCATTTGGTTTTCGATCCCACTTCTATCACCAGTGTTATAGACTTCCGCTTTTGGGTTTCAATAATCTGCACCAACATCAAAGATGCTCACTGAATGCAAGCTTCGTAGGCCAGGACAATGGCAAATGCGGACGAAAATATTGGTTAGCGCGGCCATGCCCCCAGACCATTCACACGAGTCGCTCTGACCTGACCTGTTGACCAGAACCAGGGCCTCTTCCATTCTCAGGCCTCACGTCCGCTCCGGCCGATCAGCTGATACCGAGCATGACCGTTCTCCCCTGAAAAACGCCCCAGGCGGAATTGCGAGGGCACGTTTGCCGGTGCCGCACGCACAGCGAACTCACTGGGCGTTCGGCTTGTTCGGCTAGTTATAACGTTGTATGGATGCAACGCCTCTCGCTGCAACACAAGATCTTGTTTTCGTGTGTCCCGAGTCGGTTCGCAACTGTTCAGCCTGTCAACCCTGTCAACCCGCCAGTTTCTGACCTGCAAAAACCCGCGGGCTTTTGGCGGAGTGATGGCTCAGACTTGGCGGGCTTTTGTGGGTGAAAAATTTTAGGGGGGAAAATAATGTGTCTTTCGCAGTCCGTAAGCTCCCTTTTCCCAAGCGGGATGAAGATCGGTCGAGACTTCCGACCTGTCTCTACCTCGCAGTTCTGACATTGTCCTCCACTTTGACGGCTCAGCGTCTTTGGCCCACTGTCCTTCCCACTGCTCCATGTGAGCTCTACCCAACGCGTTCGGTCCTCTCACACCTCCGCCAATCGGTAGGCGCGTGTGGTGGCCATGTTTCGGTGGCGGGCCGGCGGCCGGGCGCCAGCTCACGTGTGCCGCGCTGCCGCAGCTGATGGCGTTCACGGACGGCCAGCGGGTGGCGCTGATGCCGCCGGCGCAGGACCACAAGCGGCTGCGCGCCGGCGACCGCGGGCCCAACACGGGCGGCATGGGGGCCGCGGCGCCGGCGCCCGGTCCGCTCTCGGACGCGCAGCTGGCGGCGCTGGCCGGCCACTGCTTCCAGCCGCTGGTCGACCACTGGCGCGCCGGCGGCGTCTCCTACGTCGGTGAGTCGGCCGCCCGGCAGCGCCGGAGCGGCCGCCGCGTCTCGCCTTGTGTGGCGCGGTTTGTGTGCGGTGTGCTCACTTGCGGCTGAAAGGTGTGTTTGGTTTGGTGGCATGGGGCAAAGGACTCGTGTCGCTTGGCTCTTCCGTGTGCTGCATGACGGCGAATTTTTGGTAACGGGTCTGCTTTCTATACGTTATTCTGATCGGTTAAGATTTTCATATTTTCTCTGCTTGATTTCTAACAGTTTGCTCTCTTCCGTGGCTTGCGTGACCGTCGTGTCTGTCCGCACAGGAGGTGGCTGTAGCGCTCTGATCCCGTGACAGTCGCGTCAGACCTCGGCAGTCGCCGCTGCCGGGTGTGTTGTGTGTTTGTGTGTGCACCGGCGGGCGGGCCTGACACGGCGGGCGCCGGCGGCGGCCAGGTGTGCTGTACGCCGGCCTGATGGTCACCGCTGACGGCCCGCGGGTGCTCGAGTACAACTGCCGGCTGGGCGACCCCGAGGCGCAGGCCGTGCTGCCGCTCCTGCAGACCGACCTGTTCGCCGTGCTGACGGTACGGCCGGCCCACCCGCCGACACTGCGCACTCTCCTGACGCGCCTCTCCGTCGACACACCCGCCGACACCGCACACTCTGCTTACACGTCTCTCTGTCGGCACACCCGCCGACACCGCACACTCTGCTTTCACGCCTTTCTGTCGTCACACCCGCCGACACTGCACACTCTGCTTACACGCCTCTCCGTCGACACACCCGCCGACACTGCGCACTCTGCTTACACGCCTCTCTGTCGTCACACCCGCCGACACCGCGCACTCTGCTTACACGCCTCTCTGTCGTCAAACCCGCCGACACCGCACGCTCTGCTTACACGCCTCTCTGTCGGCACACCCGCCGACACCGCGCACTCTGCTTACACGCCTCTCTGTCGTCAAACCCGCCGACGCCGCACGCTCTGCTTACACGCCTCTCTGTCGACACACCCGCCGACACTGCGCACTCTGCTTACACGCCTCTCTGTCGACACACCCGCCGACACCGCTAACTCTGCTTACGTGCCTCTCTGTCGGCCCATCCGCCGACACCGCACGGCATTGGCTCGAAAGTGCAAAACTCTTAACTGCATTCTTGGTCATTTGGAGCTGGGCTAGTGCCATCGCGTGTGTTTGTTAGGCGCAGCTCGAACCTTTTGATCTGATGAGTTTCTGGGATCAGCGCTCTTGCTAAGCAGTACTTGTTGCGTGAGGTCTGATCCGATCCAGTCAGGAAATTCCGCGTCAGGAATATCATTTTGCGACGAAGGCATAGCGTACCGCAACCATCGGTGCAGCCTGTCCTGTGCTTTTGACGTCTCCTGACCTTTAACGCGGCCGCTGTCATCGGCCTACGGTCGGTTGCGGTCGTGACTGACAAATCCTGTGCACCGCACCTTGACATATTGCATCCTTCGCCGCCCGTCCGGAGTTCACTGACGTAGTTTCCCACGCTTCTGGAGATGCCCTGCATGAGAAACAGGTCGCGTGCCGTGGAAGACGTGCCCGCTGCGACGCAGACATGTGCGGGTCCCTGCGTCGCTCGACATTGAAAATGCCGATTCAAAGCGGTCGTCTAACGTTTTGTTTAACATTTAGAGAAATACAGTTTTGCGTGCGACAGCCTCTACGTCATGCTTGTTTTCTGACCAGTGTTGTTGTGTAGAGCGTTGCATTTAAAACACGCTGCAATACGTCTGTGGAACTATGCTCACCATTTGAGCTTGCCACCTTCAGATGTGTACCTGGAAGGCTTACGCGTGTCTGTGGAAGTTTCGGCGCCAAAGGGAGGGCAGTGAACGCTGTTGTCATAAGTAACACGTGTGCACTACTTACTGCACGCAATCGGCTGTGTGTTTATTTGGTCAGCAGTACTTGGCTCTGTTCATTTGAGAGCGTCGCTGCACGTGGAGTGTTGCGCAAGTGGCGTGCGCCCTCTCCGAGCCGTGTGCGGAGCCATCTGGTCGTGGATTTTAGCCTTTGTCAGGGCTGCGTCAGCTTGTTTTTTTTTTGCGCCCGTCTGGAAATTTGTCCTAACCTGCCTGGGAATGTTAGATCATGTGTGCGTAATCCGTCAGACTGACCTGGGTGTGTTTTCATAGCCAGCCTCTGATATATGTGAATGTGTGTTCCAACCTTATCTCCGAGCTGTAAGGGATGGTCTTCCGCCTCGGCACCACCTGACTGCGTCTCCTGAGCATACCTCAGCACCCCTGACCGCGTACTCTGAGCCTGTCTTGACGCCCCTGACCGAGCGCCGTCCTCATCCAGGCGTGTGTGGAGGGCCGTCTGGAGCCGTCAGAGCTGACCTGGCGCTCTGACGTGCACGCCGTCGATGTGGTGCTGGTGAGCGACGGCTACCCCGGCGCCTACCCCACCGGCTGCCAGATCGCAGGTGGGGAGCCGGCCGGGATAGGGATACAGGTATGGGGCGGACCTGGAGAGGGATACAGGTGGGGGGCCGACCCGGAGAGGGATACAGGTGGGGCGCCGGCCCGGAGAGGGATACAGGTGGGGCGCCGGCCCGGAGAGGGATACAGGTGGGGCGCCGACCCGGAGAGGGATACAGGTGGGGATCCGGCCCGGAGGGGGATACAGGTGGGGCGCCGGCCCGGAGAGGGATACAGGTGGGGATCCGGCCCGGAGAGGGATACAGTTGGGGATCCGGCCCGGAGGGGGATACAGGTGGGGATCCGGCCCGGAGAGGGATACAGGTGGGGATCCGGCCCGGAGGGGGATACAGGTGGGGATCCGGCCCGGAGGGGGATACAGGTGGGGATCCGGCCCGGAGAGGGATACAGGTGGGGATCCGGCCCGGAGGGGATACAGGTGGGGCGCCGGCCCGGAGAAGGATACAGGTGGGGGGGGGGGGGAGGTGATCCGGAGAGGGATACAGGTGGGGGGCCGGCCCGGAGAGGGATACAGGTGGGGCCGACCCGGAGGGGGATACACGTGGGGGCCGACCCGGAGGGGGATACACGTGGGGGCCGACCCGGAGAGGGATACAGGTGGGGGGCCGACCCGGAGGGGGATACACGTGGGGGCCGACCCGGAGAGGGATACAGGTGGGGGGCCGACCCGGAGGGGGATACACGTGGGGGCCGACCCGGAGGGGGATACACGTGGGGGCCGACCCGGAGAGGGATACAGGTGGGGGGCCGACCCGGAGGGGGATACACGTGGGGGCCGACCCGGAGAGGGATACAGGTGGGGGCCGACCCGGAGGGGGATACACGTGGGGGCCGACCCGGAGGGGGATACACGTGGGGGCCGACCCGGAGAGGGATACAGGTGGGGGGCCGACCCGGAGGGGGATACACGTGGGGGCCGACCCGGAGGGGGATACACGTGGGGGCCGACCCGGAGAGGGATACAGGTGGGGGGCCGACCCGGAGGGGGATACAGGTGGGGGGCCGACCCGGAGGGGGATACAGGTGGGGGCCGACCCGGAGGGGGATACACGTGGGGGCCGACCCGGAGAGGGATACAGGTGGGGGGCCGACCCGGAGAGGGATACAGGTGGGGGCCGACCCGGAGGGGGATACACGTGGGGGCCGACCCGGAGAGGGATACAGGTGGGGGGCCGACCCGGAGGGGGATACAGGTGGGGCGCCGGCCCGGAGAAGGATACAGGTGGGGAGGGGATGGGGGGCGATCCGGAGAGGGATACAGATGGGGAGCCGACCCGGAGAGGGATACAGGTGAGGAGCCGACCCGGAGAGGGATACAGGTGGGGGGCCGATCCGGAGAGGGATGCAGGTGGGGAGCCGACCCGGAGAGGGATACAGGTGGGGGCCGACCCGGAGGGGATACAGGTGAGGAGCCGACCCGGAGAGGGATACAGGTGGGGGGCCGATCCGGAGAGGGATACAGGTGGGGAGCCGACCCGGAGAGGGATACAGGTGGGGGCCGACCCGGAGGGGATACAGGTGAGGAGCCGACCCGGAGAGGGATACAGGTGGGGAGCCGGCCCGGAGAGGGATGCAGGTGGGGCGCCGGGCCGGAGAGGGATAACGAGACGACACACCTAGCTTAGCGTGCTTAGAATCAGCAGATGTCAGCTCACATTGCGAGCCACGCCTCGATGTGTGGAGAGGAGCTGCTAGTGGGCTCCGCCACGGCTCCCGCTGCCGCGCTGTGAGCGCCCCCTCGGTGCCAGTACTCAGCAGCGGCTCTCGCTCCGCTGTGACCGGTCCCGCCGCTGTTGCCAGGCCTGGAAGAGGCCGCCGCTGCCGACTGCCTGCTCTTCCACGCCGGCACGCGGCGGGACGACGGCGGCGCGCTGCTGACATCTGGCGGCCGCGTGCTGAACGTAGTGGCAGTGCGCAGCAGTGTGGCGGCCGCCCGCGAGGCGGCGCTGGCGGCGGCCGACCGCGTCCAGTTCCAGGGCAAGCAGTACCGCCAGGACATCGCGGCCCGAGCTCTGGCGCGGTGAGAGGTCGGACGACCCCCTGGCGTGGGGCGAGACTGCTCCCGACACGCGCCATAGGTGATCCAACTCCACTGAGATAAGACTCGCAGTCTGTTTGGTCGCCCGTCGTTCCTTTCTCGGGGCAACGGTTGCGGCTAGCGGTCGGTCCTCCATGACAGTGTAGCAGTGTTTGGTACGTTTTGCGTCCCATCTGGTAGTTTGCTCATGGGTGGTACTATTTGTCGATCCTCCCGCGGTGGTAAACGGGAAACGGCTGGTAGCGCTCTTTAGCCCGCACCCGAATCAAGCGTGGCGTCTCCGCGGTGCGACACCGCCCACCTCATCACCACCAGGCTCGCCTGTGATCCGTGGCCTCGACCCTGTGTGCTCGCCAGTGAGATTCTGTGTGCCGGCCGGCTAACCTACAAGTCGGCGGGCGTGGACATCGGCGCGGGGGACGCGTTCGTCTCGCGCATCAGCGCCCTGCTCCGGCAGCGGCCGGCCAGCGTGGCCGTGCGCGGCGGCCTGGGCGGCTTCGGCGGCGTGTACGACCTGGCGGCCGGCGCGGCGGACGTGCGCGACCCGCTGCTCGTGGCCGGCACTGACGGCGTCGGCACCAAACTGAAGGTCGGTCGGCGGCGGGAGGCGGCCGCCGCGCGCGCCGCGTCCCTGACCGGCCGGTCCGAGCCGGCTGTGTGCGGCGACGGGCCGCGTCGGTTGTCGCTCTCGTCTGAGACCGTGGCGCCGCGCGTGTCGGCAGGTGGCGCAGGCGTGCGGCCGGCCGGCCGGCCTCGGTCGTGACCTGGTCGCCATGTGCGTCAACGACTTGCTGTGCCAGGGCGGCCGTCCGCTGCTCTTCCTCGACTACCTGGCCGCCGGCCGGCTGGAGAGTGCGCCGCTCGACCAGCTGGTCTCCGGCGTGCTGGACGGCTGCCGACTGGCTGGCTGCGACCTGCTGGGTATGGGACGATGGGACAGCCCTGTGACGCTGCTGTCTGCTGGGTATATGATGGTGGGACAGCTCTGCGACGCTGATGCCTGCTGTGTGTGGGATGCTGGGACAGCCGTGTGACGCTACTGTCTGCTGGGCATAGGGCGATGGGACAGCTCTGTGACGCTGCTGCCTGCTGGGCATATGACGGTGAGACAGCTCTGACGCTGCGGATGCTGACTACTGTGGAAGAGCCTGACTAACATTACCTTGGAGGCAAAAACGTGAAGCCAGGCCCTCGAAGAACACGGTGGTTTTCTGTTGGTTTTCCGTTGGTATATGCTCACTAGATTTTGCGGTCCCTTGTAAAGTGCTTTATGTTGCGAAACACCATTTATCACATTTTACCACGTAGGCTGGACGCTGTCTGCGTTGCTTAGCGTAAAAGCATCTGGCTTTTTCCGTACGCTGTCCCAGGTATTATGGAACCGATTGGTCCTGATAGGAATTCTACATTTCCTTGGTGCCACAGCATGGCAACAGTTTTCTCACCAAGTCCATACGAAGAGCACACTAATGCAAATTACCTTACGTAGAGGGATAACATCCGTGTACCAATGCTGAGCCGGGCACGATTGGCAGAGAAACGTAAACGGCGTAATACAAATCACGGCGCTTGGTTTCCGTCACGTCCGCGTATACTGACCGAGCGTCACGGCGCACGTCCGCCTATACCAGTCGAGCGTCACGTTTCACGTCCACCTGTATCAGCCGAGCGTCACGTCACTCATCTGCCTGTACTAACCGAGCGTCACGTCTCGCGGTCGTATAGAGCGGGGGGGGGGGGGGGGGGCTCCCGCCAGCGTCTGTCTGCGTCACGCCAGGGCTCCGTGTGTGGCGGTCGGCACCAGCAGCTGAGTGTGGCGTTCGAGGTGCACGCGTGACCTGCCGACAGGCGGCGAGACGGCCGAGATGCCGGGCGTCTACTCGGAGGGGGCGTACGACCTGGCCGGCTTCGCGGTCGGCGTGGTGGAGCGGGCGCACTGCCTGCCGCGGCCCGACCTCATGCGGCCCGGGGACGCCCTGCTGGCGCTACCCGCCTCCGGCCTGCACAGCAACGGCTTCAGCCTGGTGCGCCGCGTGGTGGCCGCCGCCGGACTCAGCTACGAGCGCGACACGGCGCCCTTCATGCCGTCCGCCGCCAGCCTGGGTACGGAGACCGAGCCCGCTCGCGCGGTCCGGACCGGTCCACTCTCCCCTGGCTGCTGCGTCGTGATCTCCTGTGCTGTTCAAAATTATGTTGCTGTACCACGTTCCTGTTGCGTTCAGTCTGTGGGTAGTGGTGCGGCGCTGTCTCGCGCTGCCTCGCCAGGCGGCTTGTGCCGGTCTGCCGGGCGCCCGGCGCGCCATGGCTGACTGCCGGCCGCTGTCCGCCGCCGCAGGGGAGGCGCTGCTGACGCCCACCGCCATCTACACGGCGCCGCTGCTGGCTCTGCTGGCCCGGCCCGGGCTGGTGACCGGCGCCGCGCACGTCACCGGTGGCGGCCTGCCCGGGAACGTGGCGCGCTGTCTGCCCGCCCAGCTGGCGGCCCGGCTGGACGCGGCCGCCTGGCTGCGCCCCGACTCGCCCGGCGCCGCCGCTGCCGCCTGGCTCGCACTCGTCGGTGAGTGCCGCCGCTGGGTCACGGCCCGCGCTGGCGCGGCCGGCCTCGGCCGGCACGTCTGACCTGCGCCTGCCGTCGACAGTCCTTACGGCTGTCTTCGACAGTCCTCACGTCTGTCGCCAGTCCTTACGTCTGTCTTCGACAGCTGTTGCAAAGCGGAAGCCGCTAAGCAGACGAACCTTGGTCCTCAATAACCAACCCGTGGGTGACCGCGCTCAGCATCGAACCTCCGTCGTTCGTGAGCTGCATACGGCCCGGTGCGCGTCTGACGGCGCTCGTGACTGCTGTGCCGTCCGTGCGTCAGGCGGCATCAGCGCCGAGGAGCTGGCGCGCACCTTCAACCTGGGCCTGGGCATGGTGCTAGTGGCGCCGGCCGAGCGCCGTGAGGAGGCGCTGCAGCTGCTGGAGCAGGCCGGACACCCGGCGCTGTCCGTGGGACGGCTGGAGGAACGGCAGCATGGTGCGTCAGCTGCGCCGGCCGCGGGGCTGGTGGTCGCCAGAGGAGGGGTGACAGCAGCCTTGGGTGCAGCAAGGGAACACGGTCTGTGTGTGCGTTTGGCGATTGCTGTCATGATTTAGTATACATACATACGTGCATATATATATATATATATATATATATATATATATATATATATATATATATGTTATAATAAAACACTTGGCATGAGCGCCACGCGATTGTCCGCGTCCCACCCACGTTTAGCGCTGTAGCTGGTGTCGTTTCTGATCGCCTTGCAGCGTCTCGGTCCCGCTGAGCGATGACCGAACGGCTTGGGACGTGGCGTGTGACCCTGCCCTCTGTGTTCGGTGCAGACGGCGCCGGGGACACCGCGGCGCCTCAGGTGCTGCTGGACGGCCTGCAGACCCAGCTGAGTGCCGTGATGGCCGGCCTGACGGCGGCCGGCGTGGTGGCCCGGCCCGTGCGGGCCCGCTGCCGTGTCGGCGTGCTCATCTCCGGCTCCGGCACCAACCTGCAGGTGAGGTGGCCTTCTGCCCCGGGCACGCTGTCCAGGCGGCGGCCTCCTGCCCCGGGCCCACCGGCCAGGATGCGGCCTCTTCCCCAAGGTCCGCTGGCCGGGCGGCGGGCTCCTGCCCCGCACCGCTGACCGGGCAGGAGGCCTGCCCCGGACCCGCTGGCCGGGCGGTGGCCTCCTGCCCCGCACCGCTAACCGAGCAGCGGCCTCCTGCCCCGGACCCGCTGACCGGGCGGCAGGCTCCTGCCCCGCACCGCTGACCGGGCAGGAGGCCTGCCCCGGACCCGCTGGCCGGGCGGCAGGCTCCTGTCCCGGACCCGCTGACCGAGCAGCGGCCTCCCGTCCCGGACCCGCTGGCCGGGCGGTGCCCGTCGCCTTGCCGACGGGCGGCGCTCCACACAGGCGGTCAGACGGCCGGGCAAACGTGCGGTCGGTGTTAATGGCGATGGGAAACATTCGGAGGGTAGAGATGCGAGATTGCCGAGCTTGCACGTTTGTTAAGCAAACTGATTGTAAGAAATGTTTACGTAGCAGTTGAAGGCGCGGGCGTCAGCTTGAGCGAATGTGCTCGCCGGCTGGTTGACCAGTGTCGGCTGATAGTCACAGATCCTGGGCACTGTTTTTCCCGACGCTTGGCATGGAAACATTCGCTGATAGCTGGCAAGGGGCCTGCAAGTAGCGTTAGCGAATACGTTGTCGGTTGTCTGTTGGCGGTGCAGGCTGCGGGTGCATGTGCGGGTGTGAACGATCTGCGTCCGCTTCCCAGGCGCTGATTGACTACGCCGGGCGGGTCGACAGCTCGGCCGAGCTCGCGTTGGTCATCTCCAACAAGGACGGCGTCAAGGGACTGGAGCGGGCCCGCGCCGCCGGAGTGCCGTGCCAGGTGGGCGAGCAGCCTTGCTGAGCAGCTGGCAGGGAAGCCGCCTCTCTCGTATTCCAGGACGCGAATGCGGGCGTGTGGCTTGCGCCGCTGTGAGTCTGACCCCGCTCCGACTTCGCGGTGATCTGTGACCTGACCTGTGACCTGGCACTGCTCCGATGACCTGACCGGCTCTGACCTGCGTCTCGCGGTGATCTGTGACCTGACGCTGCTTTGATGACCTGAAGGGCTGTGACCGGTACCTAGCGCTGTTCTGATGACCTGATCGATCCTGGCGACGTCTCGCGGTGACCTGTGACCGGTGCCGGCCGCAGGTGATCCGACACACGGCGTTCGCCGGCCGGGAGCAGTTCGACCTGGCCATGCACGCGGCGCTGGAGGCGCGCGGCGTGCAGCTGGTGTGCTGCGCCGGCTTCATGCGCATCCTCTCGGCCCGGTGAGAGCTGGGTGGGCCGCCGGCGCCGTCAGCCGCGGGCTCGGCGCTGCTGCCGCTCGGTCTGGCCGCCTGTCGCCCCTCACCTCGGATGACGGACGCGCTGGCCGCAATCTGCTGGCAACAGAGTATTGCGATGGTGCGATATTCTGGTAAAGTCAGCTGGTTGTTGAATGATACTTTATCACATGAAATATCTGTTCTTATTCCACTGTCACGTGGGATCCATGTTAGTCACCCCTGACATTACATGCCCTGTTGTCCTGTCCTGTCCTGTCCTGTCCTGGTCCCAAAACGGCCGGCGCAATGACTGTGTGCCATTTCAGCGCTGGCGTTCACGCGTTTTGAAAGATCAGAACTCCTGTGACAAGCAGGCGCGAATCGTGCGGTTGTTTGGCACTTTCGTAGATTTCCGTTGCGCACAACTCCGTCGGTACGTCATATCGGTGCTACCTGACCACGCCTAAGCACAATTCCAGCTGTATAAGATGACACCGTGTTACACTATGGACAGAGCCCCAAGTCGGATGGCTGCGGGTAAAATCGTCGCTGTTTATAGACCAGCGAGCAACCGTCTGCTTGTAAGTTCTTAGCTGTGCGGAATATAAGTTGTGTTGCGCTCGCCCCATGCCGTCGATTTTCTTTTCGCAGATTTGGTCGGAACCTTTTGATTGATTGGATGGATTTCTGGGAACATTGTCCGCACTAAGTAGTGTTTTATGCGCTGGTCCAGACACCACCATCCGACCATAAAATTCTGGTTGAGCAGTGGAATGTAGCGAAGAAAGCCCAACGTGCCGCAATGCCCGGCAGGGCTCGTCCTGGCCTCTGACGTCACCTGACCTTACCGGTCACATACATTCCCAGTCGGGCAAACAGCGAGCACCTAAAGCGAGTCGGACAGAGCCCGCCACACATGGTGAAACAAAAGACAGGCGCTCTAACCTACCGAGCCATCAGGACGGACATTGACCTGTCGCTCAAATTAAATGGCCCATGTGCTGGTCTGGAATGACTTCTCACCGGCTCATATTGGACACTAATTGCAACCGGTCGGACGCCATTTGTGATGACGAATTGGGCCACCTCCAGTATGTCTCGTGGCGGCGTCGCCATTCTTCCGAAGTCCAATGCTCACTGCCTAATGTGCAGTCAGCGGAGCGCTTCGGCCGGGGATTCAGGGGCCCATTTAGAGGTCGTCAAATCAATGTCCCTGCCATGCTGCAGACGTGAACTGCGGACCCCGTGCGGGCATGTGTTTCACGTGCCGTAATTCAGCCCGAATTATCGTCAAATGAATTTACTTCGCTTTTTGCTAACCCAGCTCAGGACGACCCATACGCATTTGCTGAATTGGAAGCGCATGGCGGCGACCGGCGGCGACTTACTCGCCTCTCTACAGGATATGTCGCAATACTCATGCTGAGTGATGTGGACGTAGAATTCTGAACGGTAGCCGTCTGTGTCTGCGGCGTGGCCAAATGTTGTTTTACGTCGTTGAAGCAAACTCATAGACTAGTAATCAGACAAAAGATTATAGGCTAGCTGGCATATTAAGAATAAGTTCAGCGCGGTCGAAGACAAAATGCACCGATAGAGGACATCCACGCTGCCATGGTTTGCGCTCACCAGAATATTTTGGCACCGTGAAACCGTGACAAAGTTGCACCTCGATGAGTTTCTTCGAAAATGGAAGTAGAGATCTTCTCATGGTCGAATGCAAAATGGCCCACATCCATGTGCAAAGGGGCAAATGCTAAAGATGTGGGATTAATCCTTTCCCCAAAGGCAATTTTCCTGGAAGATACCAACGCAGAAACAGATCGTGGGTGGCACTCTATCGCGCCGATTACGGTGTTGACACTGCCCCACATTTACGGTAAAGTAAGACGCTCAGGAAGCATTTGATGGGAATGAATCAGCGGGGTAGGTGAGTCGCCGCAGTATTCTTGGATTCCATGGTCGTTCAATCCACGTCCACGCCCTTCTCCTTCAACTTGTGGACTCAAATGCCGCGTAAGTGTGTCATTCCAGTGTGAAAAGTTAGGTAGTTCAATCTGAACTTCTCTTGTCTCAGCAGTTCTGTGAATGGATGCTGCTTTCGCACCACCATTGAGTTATCATGGATAATTTGCAAAATTTTATAAAACGTGATCATTAGAACTCAGTGAAGAACTGTAGCCGCCCGAAGAGCTGAACCCATTTACCGAGAGCAAATTCACTGAATAATGCTAGTTCGTGGCCATTGCCACGCCATCTTTCGCCTCAAAATGGGGTTCATGGAACTGAACCGTGCAGAATGATCATCTTTCGGACGCTTGACACAGGTAAAAACACAGGTGAACCGCAAAGCTTGAAAGATTGCAGAAATGAAATGAGATGTGTTAGACTTTTGTGAGGTTGGCGTGATGTGCAATGTGCGCGGTATCGGACCTCGTGACGTATGGTATTTCGTACCCGGTCGACGTCCTCGATATATTTTCGGAAGACGGCATTTTCTGCGCGTCGTCATATTTATATATTTTATATTAGGAGTTGGGAATAGTTTTTACCCCTGGTGGAGCTGGCGATCTCTGGCTGCGTTTGTTTGTAGCTTCGCCTTTCCTTCTTGACATATGAGCCAATTTATGTACCATATGGAGTATACGTGATGATGCGGGCTAATGGGTATAAAGGCAAGTAATCTTTCGTGTTAGCACCGAACTTAAAATGGCAGCGCACATTCTTGAAATGGTCAGCAGTAAGTTCTTGACGTTATTGTCCATCACTCTTCAGGGTTGTGTGTCGTCATATTTATACCTTTTGTGTCAGAAATCGGGAATTGTTTTTATCTTATTGTGAGACCGATAAGCTGGAGCTGCCGCACGTCTGCGGGCAGCAGGTCCGGCCTGCAGGAAGCGTCATTGGCTGCCGCGTCTCTGCTTGCCGGTTTCAGTCTAGCAGTCTCCGGCCGGTGTGTGGTTACGTATCGGCCTGCCCAGCCCGCAGCAGCCGCTGGCTGCCGTACCACACGACCTCCATTGGGCCCAGTGTGCAGCCTCATCTGACTGGTGCGTCTCTCTGTGCGCCAGTTTTGTGCAGCTGTGGCGCGGCCGGCTGCTCAACATCCACCCGTCACTGCTGCCGGCGTTCCCGGGCCTGCACGTGCACCGCCAGGTGCTGGAGGCCGGCGTCCGCCTGTCCGGCTGCTCCGTCCACTTCGTCGAGGTCGGTGGCCCAGGCAGGCTGTGCGGTGTCGCTGGCCGCCCGGCTGGCGCTAGCGGCTGAGCACACTCACTGCGTCGTACAGCACAGCACGGCTGTGACCTTTGTCATGTTCGATAGCTGCCCGGCTGGCGCGCCAGCGGTGGAGCACACTCACTGTGTCGTACAGCACGGCACGGCTGTGACCTTTGTCATGTTCGATAGCTGCCCGGCTGGCGCGCCAGCGGTGGAGCACACTCACTGCGTCACACAGCACATGACGGCTGTGACCGTTCGGATGCTCGCTGGCAGCCACGCCATTATCTGGGCGGGCGTGGCGTGCTTCTGACCGCATGTGGGACATGGTGCTTGTTTGCCTGTCATATGCTTGTCCGTTGACAAGGACACCGGTTCCGGTGCATGGCCCGGCGGCACGTTGAATTGTCCAGACGCCAGAAATAAGGTGGGGGATGGGGTGGGCGCTTTGTCCGAGCTGGCGGCCGCAGTCGGCCAGCGGCGTCCCAGCCCCTTGGGGTCGTGGTGACCGACGACTGGTGCCAGCTGGAGTCAGCCGACTCCGGCTGGGGTGCCCACTGCGTCCGAGCGCCGTATCGTGGTGACCGCTGGGGCTGAACTAGTGTTCCGGGTTCGGTAGTGAAATATTTCGATATGTACACTTCATTCAAATGTGCAGGAGATGTAGCATGCGTGTATCCAGTTCATTGCATCACGTACACGCCAAACACACGCATGCGCTAGGAATCTATACGTTGCGAATTAGGACTGTACCAAGAGGTAACGGTAATGCGGTGATTTAGCTGTGTGTGTGAAAAGTCAGAGGTATGGGGTTCGATTCACCGCGGTGCCGCTCTTCCTGCCAGCACCGGGTGAGGGCAGGCGATGTTATGCCAGCATAACCTCAGAATCCGAAGGCGTCAGAAAACCTCAGCGATGACTGAAACTTACCAGGTCAAGGGTATTATAAATCAAGACTTTGGCAAGCAATTCACCATTCGCGGCCACGTGTAGATGAGTGCAAATGTGTAGGTGAGAGATTCGCCAATGTGTAGATGAGACTTCGTTAAAAGATGCGCCCAGCGGAACCGTAATTGAAATGCATTGCTTTGTTAAACGCCACAGGGTTTTCTCCTGGTTTTAATTGCGTGCTTTTTCCCAAGCTTTTTGATATTTTTCCCGCATATTGGTTCGATGTGTGGCTTCCAATGATGTGCGGCTTCCAAGTTTACATGAGCCTCATGTAAACTGGTGCTCGACGCCATGGTGATTCCATGCTAGCCCCACCATCTTCGTCCTATCTTCATTGATCTGTCGTATGGGGGGAGGCGGGGGGGGGGGGGGGGCGGGGGGCGGGAAGGAGTGTCCACGGAGGTCACTGGGGATAACGTCTTCTCGTTACCTGGAGGAGGGCTGACAAATTGGGTCGTATGGGGAATCACCATGGAATCAGATGACACTGCGCACATGCCTGGCCCTATGGGGGGGGGGGGGGCTTTGCTACACCGGAGCCTCGTAGGGCCAGGTGTAACGAAGCCATGGTTAGTGTACCCATGGATTTGTCGGGTACACTTATCATGTTAGTGTACCCAATAAACATGGTTTGTGTACACTAACATGGTGGCCATGGTTAGGGTACCCATGCATGGGTGCATTAGCATCGCGGCGCGGTATCCCTGGCATACCCGTAGGTCAAAGTGAGCGGGAGCCAACATTAGATAAATTCCGATATCATTATTGTGCGTCGGCCGTGGCTCAACACCTGCCTTCACGAATAAGTCGACTCCCAAATCGGCTATCTTACCCTCTTACGGTTTGAGGGAAATCCGAAGCTGAAACTGAGTTTGGAAACTACTTTGATTTGCCCTCGTTTTTGCGATCGAGGGCCACTGTGCTGACGTGGTGTGGGGCCGCCTCCGTGGTCTGCCGGCATCCCGCCGTGTGTGTGTAAGTTCTGCTGTTCCGTGCCCCGCCTCGGGCTCACTGGTACACGCGGTACGTCCAAAGTCACTTCTGTAGTTGACACGCGTCCCAGGCACTCCACACAGTACGTCCCGCCGGCGCATCCGTCCCCGCGCCGGCGGCTCTCCCACTCTTCTGGTTACTGCCTCCTCTCGTGGGCCCCGCGGCCGCGCCCTTGCACGGGGCGGGATGAGAGGAACGCAAACGCCTTGAAGCGGCGCTCGCCAAGCTACACAAACATCCACTGGCTGGTACATAGGTGTTCTGTGGTACCTTATATGTGCGCCGGTGGTGGTCCGCCGGCGGAGAGCGCTGGTGACCGTACTCGACCGTAACCCCGCCGCCTCCGCCCCGGCAGGAGGAGGTGGACGCGGGTGCCCTGCTGGTGCAGCGGGCCGTGCCCGTGCTGCCGGCCGACACCGAAGCTCAGCTGGAGGAGCGCGTCAAGGTGGCCGAGCACGCCGCCTACCCGGAGGCCGTCGAGCTGGTGGCCAGTGGCGCCGTCAGACTTGGCGAGCACGGCCGGTTGGTGTGGCGCCACTGAGGCCGTGACCGGTCCCGCCCGGCGCCGTGGAGCGCGAGCCGAGTGTGTCGCCAACCAACGAGCCAGCTGGCGGAGCAGCGCCGTGACCGGAGCAGCACTGCGACGGGAGCAGCACTGCTACCGAAGCAGCACCGCGACCGGAGCAGCACCGCGACTGGAGCAGCGCCGCGATGGGAGCAGCACCGCGACCGGTGCAGCACCGCGATGGGAGCAGCACCGCGACTGGAGCAGCACCGCGACCGGAGCAGCACCGCGACCGGAGCAGCACCGCGATGGGAGCAGCACCGCGACCGGAGCAGCACCGCAATCAGGGCAGCACCGCGACCGGAGCAGCAGCGCGATCGGAGCAGCACCACGACCGGAGCAGCAACGCGATCGGAGCAGCACCGCGACCGGAGCAGCAACGCGACCGGAACAGCACCGCGATCGGAGCAGCACCGCGACCGGAGCAGCACCGCGACCGGAGCAGCATCGCGACTCGCTACTGTCCGACCGTCTGATGGGCGTGGCCTCTCCGTTGCCTGGCTTGTCACTTGGCTCACATTGTATCGGGCATCGTCCAATGGTCAACGTTTCACAATATTGGGATCCCTGATGTGGCAATGCAGAGGACGCCCCTGTTGCCACGTGGACGTCATACGGGGCTAGTTAGGTGAGCAACAGGCTTGAAGGGTCATGTTGTGATGCTTATAAAGACATTGTGAGGTTTGAACCTAAAAGTGCTCGGAGGCAGCAAGCAGTTACGTGGGCTCCTGTATAACTTAGGCCATCGGCGATGTTTCCCCACTGTACTTGGATAATATATGCACGATATACAGCACACATGGCTGTCCCGCTCACCGAACACAGTGCTCGTATATGAACACATCGAGGCAAACGTGGTGACGGTAAGGCTATTCTTCACCTTGCGCTCTTGTTTTATAATATGCTTTCTTTTGGAGGACTGCCCACCTTGGTTTTTGGCAACGTTTAAGAGACGGCATTTCGAGTTTTTCGATGTCCTGTACCGCGTCACCCTCTCCATTCCACGATTAGAACGAGGTATCCCAGTACCCGAGCTCTGCCAAAACTCATCTCTGGCGCCATATTCAGTAGTAGGCGATCCAGAGCAATTTTGGTACGCAGATCATTAAACTCAATCCTGAAAAAAAGCAGAAAGAATGTGACGTTTTTTAACACAACCGGCAGAAAGGCTGACGGTTTATTAAGATGTAATTCAGGCGTCAACGATTCACAAAAAAGGGAAAGCGCAGTCGATTCCAGACAAAGCAGCGGCGGATGGGAGCATGGTGCTATCGGTCCCACTCTTTCAACGCGAATTGTGCTCGCGGCTGCGGGCTGCCCCATCCCACCCTTATGCGACACACATTGCGAACCAGCTGAACCAGGCCGCACATCATCATTCTGCGCTAATATCGCAGCGAACCTCTGGAGTGATGTATTGTGAGACATCATTTCCACGCGCATCGTGTGCCATTTTCGAGTACGACACTACACATTTGTTATACGAATCATTCGTTTGGTGGCGCATGTCCTAGCCGAATGTGGTGCTGACTGGTCTGGCACAGCCCGCCTGCCACGGCGTCCCAGGTTGACTGGAAATTCCATTCGCACCGCCGCAGTTCCAGTGAACCGTTTGTGACGCGTCGTGCTAATCCCGGTCCGAAAGGCTAACTCGTCAGCCGTGCGGCACCCTTCCCTCGCCCGCCTTGTGCACGGTGCAGTTAGTGCGTGATGTGTGCACATGCACGACCCCTCGGCGATTCGCCCCGGTAAGGCGAGCGCTGAGGCGAAGAAAACGTCTCACGAGACACGCCGTCTAAGGGATGTACTTGCAGACGGACTGGCGCTGATACGACCTGGTGTCAAGCCAACCGCCATTGCTGATTGCCATTTTGCCGAACAGAACTCTGGTCAGATTGCCGTCAGGCCGGTTTTCTAGCCAGTTGGTGAAGTTGAGTGGGCTGCCGTCGAGCCAGCGGAACTCGTACGCCCTCCATGTCGGCTCGTAGTGCAGACCGATGTTAACAAACCGCGTCGAGTCGTTATGGGCCTGGACCATGGCGCGGACAAACTGGTTCTCCTCCGCGGAGAGGATGGAGGCCAGCTGGGAGCCGGTGTGGAGTGTCTCGCATGCCTCCTTCGCCTTCGTCCACCTCAGCTCGTCGTTGATGAAGGCGTAGCAGTTGCCGCAGTCGCCGCTCCAGCCGGGGTCGCAGCCCAGCAGGCGGCAACCGTTCAGGTCGAACTGGACTGCGGTGCAGGCCGACTCCAGCTGGCAGTAGAGGCCGCAGTGGGCGGCGCTGCCGGCGGCCACCGCGGCGACCTCCTCCCGCTGGTGGCTGCCGGCGGCCAGCAGCGGCAGCCGGCGGCCGACGGCCATCGCCAGCAGGGCGACCCACAGCAACAGCGGCAGCAGACGACACCGCATGGCGGGATGTTGTCGGCAGTCAGCCGCTTGAGGGCCGGGCACTGGCGAAGTGTTCAGCGCCGGGCGTCACTCGCGGCTCTCACCCACCGCTGCGTCCGCGCCCTAATGTCCTTCCATGCTGTGTCTTTGGTAACCAGGCACGCGGAAATCAATGCCAGTCTGATGTAGCGCGACGGCCATTTCGCGCAATGCTCGAGGCGATGCAGCGCGCGATGTCCCGTGATGTGTGATTTCCGGTTTATTTTCCACGCGCGAGCGCTACGGACCACAACGCCTCCCTCAAATTTAAATATTCACATTGGAATGGGACCAATTGGTAGCACCTACCTAACATCAATCTTCCGGCAAAATGGATGCTAATCAGTGCATATTGTAGTCTGATTACGGCATGGCTTTGTTCAGAAGTTAATGCCATAGGCTCGTGCCGCGGCCGGTCACCTGCAGCGTGATCGATGAGCCAGTCATTGACAGGCGCGTCAGAGCCAGTATTTCGCGTTCCTTTGTCTGCATCGTAGGTCCGTTGTCATGGGCTGCGACGGATCTAATTCACCTGAACATTCTGCACCTTAAAAGTAACGGAGAGGCATTCTGGTCGCGGAAAGGCATGCATTTTTTGGTACTAAGGACGCCTCGGATAGTGTGCCATCCGGCCGGGTACCGGATAAATTGGATAACAACAATTATCCTCCCGGATAGTGATATTTCGAGACACTGATGCACATAAGTTCTGGGAAGGGTTGCGTGATATCGTACGGAATCGTGATTAAGTTGCTAAGTACGTTTGCAAAGAAGATTATACACATAAATAGAATAGTATTACTGGCCTCGCAGGATAACCAAAAGAATGGAGAAATAGACTATTCTGTAGAGAGAGCGGAGAGACTGATGGGTCTCTTCATTTTCCTTGTTATTCTGCGGGGAATAAGGCTATAAGTACTGCCGTATTTATACGAATCGTGATACTGAGAGTTGATATTTTTGAATCGAGGGATACCGCTAGCATCACATTCAAATATCCTTTCATCTCAATTTTTCCTGCTTCTTAATTGGAGCCAGTCTAACAAGGGTTCAGTCTGGTATGGGCACGTACGACCCTGCGGCCAGGTCAGCTCATGCTAACCCCGCCAACTATCGGCTTCATTCATTCTCAGTGGTAAAGAACCAATTGTAAATATGTGGATGAAACCTTAAACTTTTAGCGCACCCGGCGATTTTTAAACTTGTCTCACTGTAGCCGAGAACTAAACTGGCGCGGCTGATGCTCAGCCAACGCAGGAATTGTCGCAGTGTAAACACAGCGATATTTTGTGGTTCGGTCCTCGCCTTATAAGTCCACATGGGGCCAGCAAACATGTCCAAAGCCCAAAGAAATGCGATATATACTACAGGCTTAACGACGACATGAGACGGGCGGGGCTTGGTGAGATTGGAGAGAAGAACATTGAATTTTTGTTCAAGTAGATTCCGTGTACAACAGCAGGGAGACAATGACACATGTGGGGACACCTCCATGAGAAGATCATAAGCGAGGGGGGGTCTGCATGGACGCGACTTTCAAATGTTTGACTTCCATCTTCAGCTCTGCGCCTGACTAAAGCGATCGCGAAGCTCGGGCAGCGGCATCCCGCGGTGACGCCGCACCATCGTCACTCGTGTCACGATCGGCACAGCGGCATGCACCAGCAGGAGTGCCAACGCCAGTTCTAGGCGAAATGACTTTAATGCAGAGACGCATACACAAAATGAGTGCAACGCGGCAAAATGTATGCTTCAAAAAGATATATCCGCCATTACCTTTACTGCATGACTTATTCAGTGCGCACCGCAATCTTTACTGCAAAAGGATCATACAACATGCGTGCCTCACGACAAAACTTACGCTGTAAAAATGCATACCCTCACTTCTTATAAGCAAAGACTCAAGCAGCCTTTACATTTACGCGACGTTCTTTCTACTGCAGACTTGGTGTCGCGTTAGTGCCATACGCAGGCGCGCAGCCAGAGGATTTGCAAGCGGCGGGGGGGGGGGGTACATGGGGTTGACAAAGGGCCCCCTGATTGCAAAAGGTCTTTCACCAAAAAGTCGTTGAATATGGCATATTTGCTAATGAGGGTACATTTTTATTTTACATGTTACATTACATTATTATTTTACATTTCATCCTTCTATGACTGGAATGATGAAATGTATTGGAAACTATGACTGGCAGCTACCGCGAGATCAATTTTGCCTGAACTTTGTAGTCAATAAACTGAAAGAATCATGCATTAAACGAATGTATGACATACATAGCCAGCGCTAAAGGGCTTAAGGGTTACTCCGCCCCACCGCGGGATATTTTCCGGCTGCCATTCTGGCGGCACAGGGCGAGATCCCCGGGTTGATCGAGAGGGCCTTAGAGGGCAACGTCAGATCACATTGATCCCAGACCCCCATCCATGACGCGGGAGGCCTTCTAACCCGCGCAGTTGACCCCGGTACAGTACAGGACGCATATTGACTCAATGGCATCCCTGATCGCAGCAGGTGGTCCAATAATTGGCACGCAGACCCCAGTTCGCCTTAACT